AAGAAGGGCAGGGCACGCACGAAGGCGTCAAGGCGGGAACGGAAGAGCTCACTCTGCACCGGTTCACCCAGCGGGCACAGCGGGTTCTTCACCCCCAGCCCCACATAGATCTGGGGAGGGGGGACAGGAGTCAGGGGGGGACCCAGGCATCCAGGCTCCCAGCCCCCACCCCAGGCACAGACTCCAAGCATCCACCCCCACTGATGTGACCCCTGCCCCCAGCCTGGTGCAGAACCCAGGTGTCCGAGCTGCCCTGAAGTGCCCCCATGGGTCCTGGGGGGGGGGGAAACGGACCCTACGCTCATGCTGCTGCAGAGGGGCGGAAGGGGACCCCAGGTGGGGCACACTCACATTGCTGTAGAGGTGCTGGAGGGCATCACGGGCGCTGCCCACGCCCAGGTCAGTAGTGAGCACAAAGCGCAGCCCCGTTGGCGTCTCATAGTAGTGCAGCTTGTACTTGCTAGTCTGAAAGCACAGGAAGCCATCGCGCCTGCGTGCTAAGGGCCACACCAGCGCTGGACTTGTGCCCAGCCCGCTCCTGGGGATCTCCAGCCTTGGCCTCGCAGTCCCCTGCCAGTCACTGCCCCATCCCCACAGATCCCTATCCTGGTCCCCCTGCTCCCTCCCCCATCCCTGGAGACCCCCATCCTGGTCCCCTCACTCCCTGGCTCCCTGCAGGCAGCAGGATACATGTCCACAGGGCTCATCTTGGCCACAAAGGAGCGGATGGAGAACAGCATCCCGAACATCAGCTTGAACTCCTGGGGGGTCAGAGGGGGGTGGTCAGCTGCAACCACCCAGGGACGCTGCCACTTGCAGAACCACATCCCCTCGGGTCCCTGCCCCCAGCTCCAGACATAACCCTGGCCCCCAACACACAGAGGCTCCGCCCCCTAACCGAATTCGGGGTGGGGGTGGGGCGCTCAGGTATGACCGGGATTCCCCAACCCTGGACCACCCAGGGATGCCGCAATTTGCCGAGCCTGGTCCGCTCGGGTCGTTGCCCCTGCAGGACACACCCAGGCCCCGCCCCGAGCCCCAAACACAATCCCGCCACCCCGAAGCCCTCCCCCCCACCCCACCCCCCGGGGGGGGGGGGGGGGCTTAGCTTTGGCCAGAAGTCCCCATCCCCGACCACCCAGGGACGCCGCAACTTGCTCAACTGCGGCGGTGTCCCCGTGGGACGCCCCTCGGCCCCGCCCCTAATCTAACTCCGGGGGCCCCCCAGGTATGAGCACGCCCCCAACCGTGGGCACCGCCGCTTGCTGAACCACGCCCCCCGGGCCCCACCTCCAGGGAAGGCGCCAGGGCCAGAC